CTGCTGTTGCATCTGCACAAGAGGAGCTGTGTCACTCAAGCTCTTCCACCACCCAGATGATTGCCAGCTCTGGCCAAGTGGAAAACCCCATGGAAAATGACCCTGCAGGCACCAGCACCTGCCCACGGCCACATCTGCTGGCCCAGGTTCTCCTCACGAGAGGATGGAGCTGCAGAGCGGCAGCTTTCACCACAGGCTTCCGCGGCCTCACGCTTTAGCGGGGAACAGGTCGAGAAGCCCTCCCGTGATGTGGATTTCCGCCTGCTTCCCACCGGCGCAGCCACAGCCCCATTCCTGCCCACAGCCCCACACGCACCCTGCGCACAGGTAGGAGTTCTCCCCTCCCAGCAGGTCTGGCTTAACAAACAGCTCCAGTGCCTGCCATAGGTCTCTGGCTTGCTGCAAGGATGTAGGAGAGGTCAGCGCACGGGGGGCCCGGCCAGGCGACAGCCCCGCTCCCTGCTGAGATGCCGGCCCCAGGAGAGCAGGAGCACCGGGTCCCCAGCCCGCTGCAGTACCCAGATCTCCAGAGCCAGGTCCAGGAAAGGGTCGTACGTGTCCGAGACGCTCTTGCACGACAAACACTTCACTGCAAAGGAAAGAGCAATGAGCACACCCCGGCACACGGACCTGCACAACGCAGGAACTGCCTCCCCCTCTCCGAGTTTGAGCTCTGGGACGGGAGCACCCGGATGCGCAGCCTGAGCCTGGCACAGAGGAAGGCTGCCGATTCCACTGTGTGCTGGCACAGCGAGTGTTGCCAGGGGGCTCATTTCCTGGCGGCGATGAGCTGGGGATCCGCAGCCGACAGCTCTTGCCGTCGCCACAAGCGGACTCCTGACCCACAGGTCCCATGGGACTGAGAAGCTGCAGCTCTGGATCATGTCCACGTGCTCAGTGATTTTCCCAGAGCATTTTAACTACAAGGCTCCCGGCAAAGCAACAGCCCCGAGTGACTGCAGGCCCAGGGCCTGGCACCGAGCACTCACCACGGGATCGCAGGTTGCCGCCAAAGATCTGGTGGACCAATGTCGTTGCCTGGGTCTCGCAATCCAACCTAGAGACAGCAGCCCCGGGTCTCACATCGTTCCTGCACTACGGCCGCCCTGCAGCCACCACGGTGTCCTCAGCACAAACTCCTGGCTGGAGCTCAGAGCTGGGCACTGCAGGGGCAACGCAGCTTCCCGGGGCAAGGGCCCAGGAACACGAGTGCCGCCTAGGGAACAGACTGACCCCACAGTCCCCTCCAGCAAGAGGACAGCGGAGAAGAGCAGCGACAGCCCATCAGAGAGAGGCCCCACGTACCTGGTGCAGCCACTCAGGCAGGACTTCTGTAGAGCGTCGATGGTATAACGCAGGAATTCATGCGCATCCTCCTGCTGACCGAAGCGCATGTGCCCAGCGATCTCTGCAGGAGAGGGGGGAATCAGCCCCAGCACGTGCTGCGAGAGACAGAGCCCTCCTCCCTCGGTGGCCCCAGGGGTCGAGCCCCCTCAAACCAGGCTCGTGTCGGCCACAGGGGAGCCCCACACACAGCCCATGAGGTCACCAGGTCCCCGCAGGCTCCATGAGTTCTCCTGGCCCCTTCTCAAAGGTTCTGCTCACACATTACTCCCTGCTCTCCAGCACGGCTATGGGAGGGAAGAGGAGCACAGTGGAGTCTTTCTTACTTTTGAGGTCTCGGACGAAGGCCACTGGCTTTATGACATTGCCGCTGTTGGCAAAAGCCTGAGCCACGTGGTTCTGCATGATACATATCATGCAGAAGCTGCCCTGGTCACCTGTGGCAGAGGAGAAGACGACAGGAAGTTGGGGGAAACAGAGTAGAGATCAAGCCTGTACAGGAGAAAGGTCATCACTTGCACAACACAGCTCAATTTTCTCTAGGAGGTCTGTGGTACATTCCAGCTCTGAGGCATCTCGAGTACACAGGTACCAGCACCTGTCTCATGACGGCGCAGCATGCCCTGCTGCTCTCTTTGCTGACAGCTCAAAGCCATGCCAAACATGTCGCCTTTCAAAGCCACACATCAACAGCATCTGCTGCCTGTACGCATCCTTCTGCTCTCACGCAGGCAGGGGCTGTTTGGGATGTCCAGCTCAGTCCCCATGAAGCCAGCAGATCCTGCTGGAGCCATCTTAGCCCTGGCTACACCCACCACGGAAACAAGTGTCCCCAAACACAAGGATGCAAAGCTCAGGGATGCTGCTATGGCCGGGAAAAAGGAGCTGTACACAGGAACAGCATCTCCGTGGAGAAGTGGCCAGAGGGAGCAGAGAAGGCTCATCCTGACAGCCACATGGCCCTTGCCACAGCCACGCGTGCTGAGATACTGAGCCCAGCGCGGGGAGCAGGGACCTGCCAGCACAGCTGCCCACCGAGCCAGGCCCCACTACTCACGGGTGCAGCGGTGCTCCTTGGAGAGCAGGTAGTTAGCCAGCGGCGGGGTGTATGTGAGGCACTGCACGGTGGAGTTCAGGAAACATGTGTTCCCGAGGTTACGCAGTCCTGCACCGATTCGGTACCTCTTCTCCCACTCCATGGACAGGCGCCCCACAGGGAAGAGCACCTTCTGGGGCGCAGGGGCATCGCTGCTCTCTGTGGGATGAGGAATGGTGGGTGAGCTGTGCAGTGCGGGCCGCGGCTGTGCCCACTGAGCCCCCGGTACTTACCCTGCTTGACCGGCTGCTCCTCCTCGGCGGCGCACTGGGGTCCGGCAGCCTTGGCTGGCGAGTTCAGCCGCACGTACTTGCCGCGGAGCCTCTGCAGCTGCTCGGAGAAGCTCCGGCGGGCCGGTTCGAACTCGATTTTCTGCAGCAGCACCTTCTTGGCAGAGCCGGCCAGCAGCTGGGTCATGCTCCCGTTCCCGCCCATCTCCCGCCGGGCCCTCTTCATCATCTCCCGCAGCCTCTCCGTGACCGGCATGGTGAGGCCCTGTGGCTCCGGCTGCGGTGAGAGGAGGCAGCTGAGCGGCGGACACCGCCCGGTTCCTTTCCCCTTGCAGGACTGCGCTCTGCTGGCACAGCAGGCCGCAGCCTGGTCTCACCCCGGCCTGCCCGGCAAGGCGCGGCCTCGACACCGCGCACCCCGCGGGTCACCCACCCCGGGGGCACCGGCTGCGCCCCCCCCCCGCACCGCACCGCACCGCACCCCCCTCTCCCCCCGGCACGGCACGGCACGGCACGGCACGGCACGGCACGGCACCGCACCGCACCGCACCGCACCGCACCGCACCGCACCGCACCGCACCGCACCGCACTCACCGCGCGGAGCGCACCGGACGCACGTGCCCCGCAGAGCCGGCGCCGCTCCCCCGGCAGCATGGCTGCTTCCGCGCCTGGCCCTTGGCGGGGCGGGACCGGCGTCCGCTGCACCCAATGAGAGGCGTTCAGCCCTTGGCTCCGCCCCGCCGAGCCTCGACGCCCAATCAGAACCCTTTATTTCCCTTAGCTCACGCGGCCGCATCCAATCCGCCTCCACGTCCTTCGCAGCGCCGCGCCAGCAGACCGGACTGACGATGGACTGCGCCTGCGCCAGACGTCCCGTGCTGGGGGCGGTGCTTCGCGGAGCCTGTGGCGTAGGCACCGTGCCCCCGCCCCCCGGCCTGGCCACGCCCCCTCGCCCGCGGGGCTGCTGCCCGCGGCGCCGCCTTCCGGTTCCGCCCCCTCCCCGCTCCTCCCGTTCCCTCCCCTCCGAGGGGCGGCGGCGGGGCCCGAGCCTCGGCAGGAGTCGCAATGAGAGCACAGGGAGCAGAGCCGGCGGCAGAACAAGTGGCGATATTAAACTCGGACAGACTACCAGCAGCAATGGCACGTGTGATACAACCATAGAGCGCGCGGGCGGGACGAGGGGCGCTGGAGGGGGGGGGGGTGTCTTTTCTTTTTAATGTCTCTCTTTAATACGTTGAAATTGCCCAGACTGGTCCAGTACGACATCTTAGACCTGACAGGGATGCTCAGCATGAAAACACCTCCCAGAGCTGCGGTGGGCGCACGGAACGGAGCTGCCTCAGACGGGCAGCCCCACGGCACGTGCCAGCACCGCTGCAACACGGGAATGGCTCAGAGAAAGCGGGTGCAATGGGGGGTGCACCAGAGGAGGACGGGGATTCTTGCAGCTGCTTGCAGTCTATGCTCCCCCCGGTACAAGACTCCATCCTCACCACTGTGGATTGGGGAGCTCAACCAGCCCAGGTGCTGCTGAAGACTACGGCTCAGCCAGTACTGCACGAGGAGACGGGAAAGGCTCTGCACCCAGAACTCCTGCCCCTGTGCCCTCCTGCCTGCAAAGCTGCTGTGGCTAAGCCCATGCAATGACAGCAGCTGCAGAAGGGGCTGCAGGAGCTCTGCCCCCATGCAGACGGCTGCGGTGGGAATGGCCCCACCACGACGCTGGGGGAGGTGGTGAACCCTGTGCCCACCTCCAGTTCCCCGGAGGAGAGGAGCATGGAGAGAGGGGCAGCGGATCTAGGGTGTGTCACAGGGGGGGTTCCTCCAGCCATGCTAAGGTGCCCCTCCAAGCACCTGCACAGGAGCCAGCCGGCTCCACAAAAGGCCTATAGCCCCTCACACACAGCCAGCGGTTCTGCCCGGAGGGCTAGACCCTTCCTGGATTCCAAGGGAAGGATGGGCAGGGGTTGGGGAGGGGTATTTGGGGTCCCTGCTGCTGGCAGGTGGCAGGGGACACTGCAGTAGAGGGCCTGCCTGGCAAGAGCCCCTGGTGCGGAGGCACTGGTAGACCTGCTACACAGACGGGGCAGCTCCCGCCACTCCCAAGGGTTTTGTTCCTTCACAGATGCCAGGGTGCCAGGGCTGAGCATGGCCTGGTGGGATTCAGCCCCCACTGTGGGTTCCCCCCATGCCTTGCTCAGCCCTGCCACAGAGCAGGTCCCTGTCCCTGCCCCCCTGCATGCCCATGGCAGCCACTGCAGCCCCAGGACCACCATGGCCAAGCGGGTTTTCATGCTGTCTCCAGGGACTGATATCAGCATGGACCAGTCTAACATCTCGCAGGTTTTTTCTACTGGCTACTGGAATGCGCTTGTTTGGCTTTAGGGGTCCTCAATGTCAAGAAACTCTTGCTTGGGGGGTGCCATGCCGCGGTACCAGGCACATGAGCCATCGCTCCTCTTGATGCAAGCGTAGTGTTTCGCCTGCCGCCCATCCACGTTGTTCTTCTCCATCGCCCAGTCTGTCCAGAGACACTCATCCGAGGAGGAGACGAAGCAGGGGATGGAGAGACAGCGCGAGATCTGTGCGGAACAGAGACCACCACTGACCACCCGAGGGGGGACAGTAGGGTGGGACGGGACGCGGGGAAGCAGCATGGCTCTGCTTCACTCGCCCCCAGTTCTGGACCAATGGTGCCATGCTGCCCCTTCCCTGCATGGCATGTTGGGGATGTGACCCTGATGTGGGAGGACTGAGGGAACCCCTGAGTGTGGGCCCCAGTTCCCAGCTGGAGAGAGACAGAGACTTGGATGACCTTCCTGTGTCCCCCAGCTCCCTGCATAGCATCATCCTTGAAGGATGGGGAGAGCATCTCGTGGCTGAGCCCCTGCCCACCCCGGGGGAGCCCGGCTGCTCACCTTGCATTCGCAGCCCATCTGGTACCGCTGGTTTAGGCTCTTCTTCTGGGTTGGGCTCAGTGAGTCCCAGGTGGAGACCAAGTCACAAAGCGTGATGTGCATCTTGCCATTGCCCTCTGACTTGCCTGTGGAGGGGCCAGAGGCAGCTCAGAGTGTCCCCCCAGGCACCCTGGTGCTGAGTCAGGGTGCTGGGGCTCGGCCCGGCAGGGGCTGGACTCTGCTGCAGTCCAGCACAGAGGGCTGGTGGTGGCAGCAGAAGGAAGGGGGGGCCTTGCACACGTCATGGGTGCCTCAGGAGGCCACAGGGCCACCACTGCCACCGGTTTCCCCAAGAGCCCTCCCTGCGGCCACCCACCTGCAATGAGATATTCCTTTTTTCCGCCGGTGTCCAGCAGCCGGCCGCACACGGCGGTGGATGGAGCCGTGTAGATGAACTCTATGTCCTTATCAGGGCCCTTGAACATCTGCCGAGAAGGTGCAGGAGTGAACGGCTGCCATGGAGGCTGCCCCGTCCCCCCGCCTCCTGCCCCAGTGTGTCCCATTACCTTGATCTGCTTGATTTCATACTGGATTCGTTTGATCGGATTCCCGTATATGTCATTCCCTGAATCCACCTCTTTGGCAGACACGGCCTTTGCTCGGATCACTGCAATGGAGAAGTGCTGAGGTCAGCAGGGGTGGCCACATGGTCCTGCTCACCTGCCCCATCCCACCACGGCTCCCACTCTCGCAGCCAACGCTGCTGCCCCCCACAGAGCTGCTGCCTCGCGCTGTCCCCAGACGGACAGGGCTCTGGCACACAGGGGAGGGTGATGGGCAGCACTGCAGCAGCACCCTCACAGTGGGTGATAAGGAAAGGTCAGCCCAGTATCATCCGGTCACCCTTGGCCAGTGCTGTCCCGAGCTCTGCTCAGCTGCTGCTGGACCCATGGGTTCAGGCTGGCCCTGCCTGGGCTCACGCCTGTCACACAGATGGCACCAGGACAGCTAAAACCTGCCAGCAGTGTCCTGGAGCTCCACTGTATTTGTCCCACAGTCATTAACTAAACCCACCTCTGATGAGGGCCCCAGCCGAATGCCTGCATGGCCTGGCCAGGCTGGAGCAGAAAAGGGCAGAGGGAACTACTTGGAGGGTCACCTTTGGGTGCGGAGGGAGGTGGGAGCTGCATCCCCAAGGCACCATCCTGGCTGTTTGCCATAGCGAGCACAGGCACCAGCACTGCCCATCAAGTGCTGCACAGGCAGCTCATCCCGGGGTCCCCACCCCAGCACAGAGGGGTCCCTGAGCCACCAAGGTGATGCTCTGGCTGCAGCTCCGTGCCAGCTCCACACTGCACAGGCACAGAAACTGCATCCGCCGGGGCCGGGGGCTGCCAGTGACACTTCCTGCTCTCATCTGCCTACAAAGACAACCCGGGGACACCGAGAGCTGAGGCAGTGGGAAAATACAGCCCAGTGAGGGCAGGCAGCGAGGCCCCAGCCAAAGGCAAGAGCCCTCCCGGCTCTGTGTGGCCCCGGCGCAGTCCCAGTGCTCAGTGCCACCGGGCAAGGTCAGGTGCCCCAGAGCCAGTGAGGCCATGGCACCTTCAAGCCAGTCCCCCCGGTCAGGCTGCCAGCAGAGCCCAGGGATATGGGAACCTGCATGTGAGTGCTTGGCACGTGGCAGTGACCTGCAGGGCAGGCAGCAGCCAGCTCACCCTTACTCACTGGCTCAGGACACGGCAGCTGGTTTGGTGCCGCATGTGGTGGCCTGAGCCCCTGCACTGAGCCCCGTGGCTCCCAGCCCTGCCTGGCTCCTTCCGCCAGTGTGGGAACTGGGGCTCCTGGCTGGCCCCAGGCAGCACCAGGGACACCAGTGGTGCAGGGGACAGCAGCAGCCCCAGGGCCACAGCACCTGCTCAGCACCCTCAGGAGCCCAGGTGCAGAGCAGGGGCTTGCAGGGCTCCCTGCACTGCTGAGGGTACCACCATCCCATGGGAGACATCTCCCCATCCCTCAGGGCACCCCAGCGCCCTGCCAGCCCTGCTCCATGTGCAGGTGGGATAGCGAATGGGGAGCCATGCTTTGGCCGGGGCAGCAGCGCCAGCCAAGCTGGGGACCCATCATGTGTCCCCCACTACATGGTGGGGTGGGAGCAGCCAGGGACACGCAGGGTGCAGCACCAATGGCACAGCAAGGAGAGGGAACCTGACCGTGGTCTATAAATACCATGGGCACGGGGGCACGCGGATGGGCTATTTCAGCTAAAGGTCAGGAGGGCACAGCCCCACTTGGGCACTGTAAGTGCCAACTGAGCTCACTCTGGAAAGGAGACAGTGGCCACCAGCATGTGCAGGGGCCCAGAAGACACTTCCTAACACAGCCACTCCGGGTTAATGGGAGAACTCGCTCGGTGCGGGACGGGCAGACTCAGTGCCTGCGGGTACAGGTGCTGCACTGACGGCTTTCCCAGCCAAGCTCCCATCCCTGTGGATGGGCCGCGGGCACGCTGGCAGTATCTCAGCCGAACGGCCAGCCCCTGCATCCCGACCTGCAGCAGGCAGCAGCCCACATCTCTGCCCCGGTCCCTGCCCCAGGCTGGAGCAGCTCCACTCGGCACACACTGCCTTGGTCTCTGCTGCCAGACCTGCGTCTGCTCCTCTGCCTGTACCTCACTGCAGGCACGGGCCGCCCCTCGCCCCTCACCCAGTGGCTGCCTCGTCCCCCGGCCCTCACGGCCCCACGTCTGCGGCAGAAATTGGGTGCAATGGAGCTGGAAAGCAGTGCACCAACTCCGGCCCCGCTGCTCCAGGCGCGGGGAATGGTGACTGGTTCAGTGGGCTCCAGCCTTTTCCATTCACGTGCTGATGAATCATTTGACAAAAATGCAGCCCAATTCTAGGCGGATTTGTTCTGAACAGTGCGGCTTTGTGGAGGGGACGGCTGCGCTGCGCTTTCCCCGCCAAGACCCCAGCAGCTCAGCCAAGCAGCTCTGTGCCAGCCAGGAGCCGGAGCATGAGCAGGGCGATTCGCAGGGATCGCAGATGGGAGCCCCTGAGGAAAGCCCAGCTGGGACCCCTGGGACCAGGAGGCAGGGCCAAGGGATAGAGGAAACCCCCAGTGCCCAGAAACCAGTAGTGGACCTCACCGAAAACCAACGTCATTGGCCACATCACCTACCACTGGCCTGGACAGCCACAGGTGCTCAGACCCTCCATGAAATGGGCCACAAGGAAGGTTCCCAGCAGACCCCGCAACACTCCCCCTGCCCGGGCAATGAGCCCATGATGAGCAGGGACAGACAAGGGCTGCGGTGCAGCTCTGGCAGCAAAGCTGGGGGCAAACAGCATCACCCAGGCCATAAACCCATGGGGACGTCTCTTGCAGGGGCCTCTGCTGAGCTGAATGGGCAGGGAACAAAGCTCCCTTCTCCGGGGCTGCTGGCAGCCGGCTGAGCGGAGGGGATGGCTGCCAGTGCCAGCACTGCCCGCTGCCTGCCCGGCATCGCCCGGCCCCACTGGGCACCCACCAACAGCAGAGCAGGGAACCCTGTGGGGATGAGGAGGCCGGAGCGATGCAGAGTGGCAGAGGCTGGGGCTGCCCCGGTGCATGGCAGTGCCAGGGGAGGGGGAGGGCAGCGCCGTGGGGAGGGCAATGGCAGCACCAGCACCAGGCCCTGCTCAGCCCGCACGGGAGCCACGGGCTGCGCTGCCACGGCCGCCTGCGTCATCCCGGCCTCTGACGGGAGTGGGATGGGACCCAATCAGCGACGGCCCTGGCGTCAGCCCACGGCCCCTCCATGCCGTCCGCTCGGGAAGGGCCCTGGTGCTCGGCCGGCGACACCAACACCAGCAGCTCCTGAGGGCAGCCCCTTGGCAGAGAACGGCTCCACCGCTGCCCCTAACCCCCCTCTGCTGCATGGTCCCTGTCGCCGCTCTCCCTGTGCCCCATCCCCAGGATCAAGCACTGGGATCGATGCAGTGCTGCCAGGGCTGCATTCATGGAGCCCCTGCTCTCCACTGCCCCATTGACCTGTCCTGGGGCTGGCACCGCCACACAAAGCCAAAGCCACAGCCATGCCCAGAGCATCGCCTCCTGCAACCCCTCATCCCCATGCTGCTCCAGAGGAGACCAGGTAGAAGCCGGGTCTTGTGCTGTGGACCCCGGCCTGGCCATATCCTCATCTGGCAGCCGAGCATCTCCAGAACTGCAGGGAGCAGCCCCACTGCCCATCCCATGGGCCAGGAAGCACAAGTGCAGGCAGGACCGGTCACTTGTTGCAATGCACCAGCTCCAGTGACACAACTCCCAGCCCTTCTGTGACACCCAGCCCAATGCAGAGGTGCATCCACCACCACATCCCTAACAGGGCCCAGCCTGGACACGGGCTGCTCCATCTGCAACAGTCAGGAAAGGCCCCAGCACCCCAGGCTGTCCCTGGGCTCCACACACCCTCATGGAGGGAGCTGACTGAGCATCCAGGAGAAGATGAGAAGCAGCAAGAAGGCCAAGGATCACAGGCTGCAGGAGATGGATCCCTGTTGCATGGGAAGAGGGTGGGGAGCTCATCCAGGATGAACCCTGCTTCCCTGAGCCCAGCCCCTTCCCTACCTGGGCTCAAACAAGGCAAGGCTGATCCAGACGAACCACAGACAGGGCTCAAGCTGGGAGCCAGGACGAGGCTGCCACAGCGGGATGAGCTCCAGGCACCCACGTAACAGACACCAGCCGAGGGCAGCGGGACAATGCAATCCAGGCACCAGCCTGGGCACTGCACCCTTCCGGGGCACAGCAAGACACCCCAGGGCCACTAAGACAGACGGTGACTCAGCAGCTGAGTCACGGCTGAGCCAGCACCCCGGGACAGGCCTGAGTCACAAGTGCCCCAGAGCAGAGACTGACTGGAGCATGAAGGGAAGCTGCAGCCACGCTCACGGGCATCCCCCGGCGCAGACACTGCCTCTAAAAATCCAGTGCTCCATTTTGTCTGGAAACCTCCCTGTGCCCGACAAGCTTTGTGGTGGCAGCAAGGCCGGGCAGAGGCAGGCACACGGGGCAGCAGCCAGATGCCGTGGACCTGCTGTTGCGAAGGAAAACCAGCAGTAACAGGGTCTGGAAGGAGCGAGTGCAGCCTGGGAATCTGTCGGGAGAATCCTGGCAGAATGAGCAGGGGACAGGGCAGGGCCGTCCAGAGGCTGAGGCTACCTAAGTGTTTGGGAATGTTACCTCTCCAGCTGAGCCTGGGAACGGCCCCGCAAAGGAGAGCGTCGGGAGCTGGGGCTGGTCTGTTTGTGCAATATGTTAAAATCCAATAAGGGCATTATTCACAGAAAGAGGAATCCAGATCCCGGCGCTGCCAAGCCCTCCCTTTCAGCAGCATCCAAGCCGAACAAAGTGGAACGGGGGAGAGGAAATGCCTGGAAACAAGGCGCAGACGGGAGGTGACCGAGCCCGGCGCTGGCTCTGCCGGGCCGGTGCCGGGCCCCGGCGGCTCCCCGCGCTGCCACGTCCCTCCGCGGCGGGATCGGACTTGTGGGAGGCCGGGGCTCCCCGGGCCGGCGGGGCCGCTCAGCGCGCAGCCCGGCCCAGCCCCGGCGGCTCCTCGCATCGCGCGGGGACCCGACGCCGGGCGCGGGGGCGACGGCTCCCGCGGGGCGGCGCGGAGGGAACGGGCACAGCCGACGGGGGGACCGCGCCCGGCCGCGCATCTGCTCCCGCCGACAGCAGCTCCGGGGCGCGGAGCCCGCACCGCGCGGCGCTGCGGGCAGGTGCCGGGCCCGGGGAGGCTCTGCCCGCTCCCGCCCGCTCCGCGCCAACTTTCCGTCCCTTCCCCCGCCGCGAAGTTGGCGCGGGCCGGGCCGGGCCGGGGCTCGGGGCTCCGTGGCCGCTGCCGGGGCTGCGGGGCCCCGCGGTGGACAAAGCGCGGGGCTCGGCGGGCGGCGCTCACCTACGTCCGCGTTGCAGAAGGCCTGCTGCGGGTGGATGGGCGAGCAGCTGCAGGCGTCGGCCGGGCGGGCCCTGCCGAGCAGCAGCACGAGCAGCCAGGCCAGCAGGCTGGGCAGCGCGGCGGGCATCGTGCGGCGGGGCTGCAGGCTCAGCGACCCGGCCGAGAAACCCGCATCCACCGCCGGGCCCGCCCGAGCCGCCGCCAGAAAGTTTGGGGCCGGCGGCCGCGGCGTTGCGGGCGCTGCTGTGGCCGCTGCTCCGCTGCCTTCTATGGGGGTGTTTTCTTCCTTCCCCGGCTGCCGCTCAGCCTCGCTTTTTAACGTGCTCCGGGGATTCGCTGCTCCTCCTCTGCATGGCGCAGGGCCAGCCCGGCTGCTCCCGCCCCTCCGCACGGCGCGGCTCCGCGATCGCCTCCCCCGGCCCGGCCCCCGCCCGCCCGCCGCCGCCCCGGGACCCGGTTCGCAGCTCTGGCTCCCGGCCTGCGCCGAGCGGAGCAGCGGATCGGGGGAAGGCAGCGATTTTGTCGGTGCCGAGGCGCGTCCTCCGCGCCTGTTCCCCCCTCGCCCTTCCTCCCCTCCACGGGCCGCAGCTCCAACCCCACCTTAGCCCAGAACCTGTTGCGCGTCGTGGTACAGCCCCAGCAGAACCCCACAGGGCTGCTCGGTGCGATGGGGAGAGAAGCAGAAAGGTAAAAGTGAGAAAGGTTGAGACAAAGGTGGTTTAATAGATAAAGCAGAAGCCATGCACAAGCAAAGGAAACGGGCGGGTTCATCCACCACTTCCCATCGCAGGCAGGTGTCCAGCTATCCCCCACCCATCCTTCCATTATATGTCAGTGATTTGGGAAGACAAATACCATCATTCCAAGCATCACCCCCTCGTTCTTCTCAGGCTTCATATGCTGAGGATGATGTTCCATGGTCTGGGATATCCCTGGGTCAGTTGGGGTCAGCTGTCCCGGCTGTGTCCCCCCAAATCCTTGCGCACACCCAGCCTGCTCAGTGGTGGGCTGGCATGAGGTGGAAAAGGCCTTGACGCTGTGCAAGTGCTGCTCAGTGATAATGAAAACATCCCTGTGTTATTGACACCATTATCAGCACAAACCCCCAAAATCACCCCATGCAAACTACTGCAGGAAAAATCAACACAGCCCCAGTGAAACCAGCGCACTGTGACACTGTCACTGCACCAGGGTGCTGCCGGCATCACCAGACCTGTGCCCAGCGCTGCATGGGCACGCTGCATCTCTGCAGCGGTGCCTTTGGCCCGGCTCTGCCTCCTGGCAAGGGCACGGCATCTGACCCCACGATGCCAGGTGCTGCTGGCACACACTGGCAGAGCGAGCAACCACCCTGGCCACAGAACCTGCTCCTGAGCCAGCCACGCGCCGCAGAGCTGCCTGGCCGCAGGTACTCACGTTTGAGGGACGTGCCAGAGCTGCTTGCCTCTGGGATAAGAAACAGCAGAAACGCGGGCAGCTGAACGCAGGCCAAGCCCTGCCAGAGCCTGCAGGGAACCTGTGGGAGGTGGCAGCTTCATGGCACTGCGATGTTGGATGGAACCTGGAGATGAACCCAGGGTCCCCAACATGTGGGGCATGCCCCACATGCAGACTGCGGGGCACATGGTCTGCAGGTGCTCCGGGTCACCAGGAGTCCTGCCTGCTCAGCTGCAGGCCCTGGTGCTGCTCTGAGGGCCTGGGTCACTACAAAAAGGGAGCATGGGCAGGCAGGGCAGAAAGTGGGAGGGTCTGGGGACCCAGGGGGCACAGTGTGGGGAGGCCCCACTTCCTGCGGGGTGCAGAGGTCCTGGCCTGGCGGAACAAGAAGGAGTCCACAGGGCAGGGACTGCCCCAGGGAACCAGATGGGTGCTGCAGTTGCCAGCCCCAGGCCAGGAGGACCGTGGAGGAGCGAGGCCAGGAGCGGCCGTGCCGAGTAAAGTGCAGGCAAAGGTGAAGCGGCCAAGGTGGCCCGTGGCCAGTTGGCACCTGGTGCCCTGGGCTCGTCACACAGCCCCAGAGGCCACGTGCCCAGGCCGGGGCTGGCTCTGCCCGTGATGCTGGGACAGGCAGTGCCCAGGGCAGCAGCAGAGGGAGCGCAGCCGCTCAAGCCCAGCAGCTGAGTCATAGTCAGGGCTAAACGAAAACACGTGTCCAGCCCCAGCTGCACTGCTCACCCCGCTCTGAGGTGCTGGACACTGTAAACAGGGGCGGGGGTGACACAGCCAGCCTGGGCTCTCGGGAGGGCCCTGTCCCCACCAGCTCGCCCCTGCCAAACCAAGGCAGCACCGCGGAGCCAAACACCAACCCAGCGCATCGCTGGTGGTTGCTGTGAGGCAGGGCTGGGGCTCGGCCAGGCCAAGTGTGTTGGGGTGGGAAGGAGGCCCCGTGCCTGCAGATGCCCATGTTCCGCACTTCTGGCTCCCAAGACATGTGCTAGTTCCTCCTGGGGGCCGCTGGCTGCCACCGCGATTTCACAATGCTGCTGGTGAGCACGGGGCTGCTGCAAACACTTCCCAGCTGCTGTTGGCCCTGGAGAAGCTGACCTGGTGCTCCCAGCTCTCTCTCCTGTGCCGAGCACAGCAGCCCTTGGAGCAGGCTTGGCTGTGGCTTCCAGCTCCCAGCAGCTCCTCTCTAGGCCCCGGCTCTTCCTGGAGCTGACGGCTCTGGAGGCACCTCTGGAGCCTGAGCCACGTCTGACAGAAGACGCATGACCAGGACCATGCACCTCCTTGGGGAGCAGGCTGGGAAAGGAGCAGGGGTGTGCCCCCAGCACGCACGGCCACAACTGTTGGCCCCATCAGTCACTTGAAGCCACTGCACTGGTGCTTCCCCCAGCCCTGGGCCAGAGCCCATGTGCCAGAACAGCAGTGCCAGGAGTGGCCCCAGTTCATGGTGCTTGAGGCCACCAGAAGCCACAGCACCACTGGCAGTGTGGTAACTGCTGAGTCCCCTCGGTGATGGCAGAGGAATACACCACAGCCCCCCCCCCCCCCCCCCCCCCCCGCCATGAGACCTTCCCCAAGCAACAGTGCCCAGGGCTGGCCGTCACCTCCCCAGCTAACAGGAAAAGGGAAGTGAAACGGCTTCTGGGGAAAGGCCTGATGAAATCCCCCATGGCCGTGACACTATAGATGGGCTTTGCCTGCCCTGGCTGTGACACCCTGCATAGCCCTGTCCCGTCTGTCACCCTGTGACCCCAGCAATCGTGCCTTCAGGAGTGCTCCTCCCCATAGGGATGCTTGTCCCTATGTCTCCAGTACATTCCTGGTGAGGTGCTGGGGACCTAGCTCAGAGGTTCCCCTGCAGGGTGGCCACAGCACAGGTTGCGAGAGTGGCTGGGCTGCAGGGCAGGGTCAGACCCACTCCCCCAGGTACCAGCACCGGCCCAGTGCTCTGGCCAGACACCCCCCTCCTCCAAGGGAGCACCACACAGTGGGACAACGCAGCAGAGCTGGGGCTCAACCTTCTCCTTCACTGCAAACCCAGCGCTTGGATGCCACCAGAGCCACAGAGGGCTTCTGTCACAATTAGGGGCTGGCACTAATGGCCTGACTGGGGATCCAACACATGGGGCCATGGCCGTGTCTGCTGGGCTGAAGCTCGCAGCAACCTGTGGTGGCAGTCCCTTGCCACCAGGTGCCACTGCCGAAACACTCGCACCACGCCTGCTGCAGCAGAGCAATGCTTTACAGGAGGCACCAAGGCCGAGGACAAGAGCTGGGAGCAGAGCCTGGCGTCCCTCTGCTAAGCCCAGGGCTGCCCCCGGCTGGCACTGGCCCCGCGCCCCTCCAGTCCAGTGAATCAGTCGTTAAATAAACTCAATGCCCTCGTATTTCACGCTCCCGATCCTGGTCTCAGGCAGGAGGAAGCGCCCGTCCAGCGTGAAGGCCATGATGTAGCTGGCGATCTTGCCATTGTCCTCCTCCGATTTCAGCGCCACGATGATCTGGTCATCCGTGTCTGGGATGAACTTGAAGGAGGAGAAGCCGTGAGTGGGGACCACGTCCCCCACGCGTCCCACCGTCACGTCCCCGAAGTCCTGCGTGGAGCTCAGCAGCAGGTTGGTGCCGCGCCGCTCGTCCGCCTTCTCATTGTAGCGCTCGTGGCTGGCGCGGCGTGGCAGGAAGAACCAGCGCTGCAGCGTGTCGCTCCAGGACACCGACTCATGGATCAGGTAACCTGCAGCAGGGAGCGGCGGCTGACGGCGTGGGGCACCTGCCAGGCTCCGAAGGACACCGCAGCGGGGAGGTCACAGCCCCATGCAGGCAACCACCGTGAACGTTTCCACCTCCTCCTGCCCACTGCCCATGCAGGAGTCCCCCCAGTCCCTCCCAGAGTGGGACAGGGGCACCCCAGCAATGGCCTCCTCTGCCCTGGGGCCTGGCTGCCAGGCACAGTGCTGCTGAGCCACCCTCCAGCTGCTTGTGCCAGACGGGAGAAAAGCCCTGGACAGGTTTTTTTTTCCCCATCAGGACAAGGGGAGGGAGGGCTTTGGCATCCATCATCCCTCAAACCTCCCACCGGTCCCAGTATTTATGGGGAGGGAGACCTCAGCCACGGAGGGTGCGGGACAGGGGGTGGCAGGAGGGAGCTTTGCTCAGTACCTGGGGGTTGGATGCCCGCTGCAGCCCTCAGCGCGTTGTAGTTCGCCACCCAGTTTTCATGGCCCACGTCGCCCTTGTAGCCAACGACCTTCACCCACTCTGGGTTCTCGTTCACCACCTCCCCTGTCGTCGTGGTCCACTCCTTGCCCAGTCCCCCCACATAGAGGTGCTCGTCCTTCACTGCCAGCCACTCTGCCTTGAAGCCTGCAGTGGAGAGAACAGCATGAGCTGGGGCTCAGACAGCACATGGACATGGGACTGACACCCACTCCCCTGAACACCACATCAGACAGCTCAGTGCTGGGCAGAGCCTTCCCCCATGCAGCCAGCAGGTCCCCAGGCAGGAGCTACCCCCGAGGCACAGAAAAAGTGCACCCGCCCCAGCAAGCTTCAAAGAGCCAAACTGCTCTGCGCCTGCAGGATGGGACAGGATGGAGGAGCTCACCTTTCCCCACTGTGCCATCCCCATCTGGGAGGATCACCCAGGGCACCACCTTGTTGCCCTCAATCTGGTAAACCACTCCTGTCCGGTCATCCACGGCGTACAGCTTCCCGTTGAAGACAACCAGCTCGGAGAGCTCCATGCCCCTGCCCTTCTCAGCCAGGTGGGACTGCAGCATGCTCTCATCTTTGTCCCACTCCACTGTCACGCTGTCCCCGCTGTCTGACAGCACCAGGTAGCCCTTCTTCAAGTA